CAGTGATTAGAAGATGTGTGCCAGGTCTCTCATTCCTCCTTTTCCGCCCTGTGTAAGTTACTCATTGTGGAAAGACCTGAGTAACTTTATCAAGCAAGAGGAAAGACCAAGTAGACATAATTCTCCCATGATACTCAATGACTCCATAGTGTTTGCGAGTGCAAAGAAAACGGAAGGGAAGGGGGGGGGGAGAGAGAGAGGAAAAGGGAGGGAGAGGAATAAAGGAGGGAAGTGAGTGGTGGGAAAGGAAAGGAAGGGTGTGAGAGGAAGGAAAGGAAGGGAAAGGAAAGGAAAGGAAAGGAAGGGAAAGGAAAGGAAGGGAGGGAGAGAGGAAAGAAGGAAGGAAGGAAGGAAGGAAGGAAGGAAGGAAGGAAGGAAGGAAGGAAGGGAATTTCATATTCTAGGAACCCTTCAAGTGCTGGTGCTGCATCATGCCAATTTTTAAATCACCCCCACCCCCCCACACACAAAAAATCTCCCCACATACAAGTGACAACAGAACTCCTCAAGAGGCAAGCAGAAGTTTAAAGTTCAGGATCAGGGATAGGGGATTAAAGATGGCCGCCGTCGTAGTACTGAAGCCCTGCCCCTTTTTACTTGCGTTATCAACTTTTTTTGACTCCGCCCCCACCTGCTCCCTGGGCTGACTGCATTCATCAAGTATCCAAAATGCCAACCTTCAAGCTACATTGCAGAAGGTGGTAGTTGTTGCTGCACTCATACCCTTCCAATCAAGGGCACCGTCTTGGCTAACTTTTCTACAAAGGGCCAACAAAATCTTGTATTCAACCCAGGGCAAATGCAACTATCTGGTGAGTGTGTGCCTGAAAAACTGTGTAGGTGTCAGTAGAATTCTAATATACAGCCAAGCAGGATTGCATATTCCATGCAAGGCATCCCCCTGCCTTGTGTTAAAGAGTTTGAAAAGTAACTGATTGGGCAGGTTAATTAATGGCTCTCTGAAATGGACAAAAGCTGATTTTATTCCTCTTGTGAGCGACTGATCACAGATCGACCTCAAAACCAGGAAAATATTTCTGAGGGATTTCTAAGCACCTTGAATATGGCTGTAAGATGCTTCATAAGCAATTCCCCAAAAATGTATTGTCTCAGAAAATCCAGTGCAAAGAGAAGTAATGCCTAAATTTCAAAATAGGTTTTCTTCAGCCTTCCACAAGGAACATCCTGTATTCTCAGGACTACATTTATCTGAGGAGATCCAGAATGAAATTGTGCCCAAGTAAGGAAAAGGCACGTGGTTGTTATAACCACGAAATTGATCAATTTCCACATCCCAGAATTTATCATAATTGGGACACACACACACCCCACTGGAAGTTCTGTTGTCTGCTGGATGTGGGATTTCCCCATCAAGTTACAAGACACTTTTCATAATCAACATTCATTCACAGACATTTAAGGCAACTGGATAGAGAGAGAGAAAAAAAGAACAACCCACTGATTTTATTAAAAAAAGCGAAAGTAAAACAAAATGGCCTGCGTTATGCACAACGGATCGCATAAAACTGTCAAAGACACACATTATTAGAAAGGGCAAAGATAGGATGGAAACTGGTTGTTGGGAAGTTCAAAAGATTCAAGACGAGCCAGAAAAGACGCTGCAATTTTTCTTCCAACTTAATACCAACCATTGCCATCGTATTTGCCCCCGTTACAACCTGAATTCTTTTTTTCCCTGCAGAGTGTATCTGAAGCTCAGAAAGCTAGAAATACAGTAGAAAAAAAAATACTGCTTAGAGAACACGCTTTGGCAGTATAAATGCTTCGCACTATTTTGAACTCAAATACCCAAATTAAAGATCTCGCTGAAATTAAGCTTCATGGACTTAACCAGCACTCAAATAAAACTTCAAACAAAAGAAAGAAAGAAGGAAAGAAGAAAAAAGCAAAGGAAATCACCAACACTCCAGATGTTATTGTTCTGAATATATCAGATTCTTGGCAAACAAGACATACAATTAAAAGAAGAACCTTCCGTAAGTCAAATGAAGATATATAGAGAGGCATCCTTTGGGGTTCGTATAGGACTGTCCTGCTTATTAAGCAATACTGGTAGAGCTCTCCAAACACTGATTAAAAATTCCTTGGATGGAGTCAAAAGTCTGTTTTTTTGGCTTTCTTGTTTTACTGTGCGTCCGATCACCTGTTTTCTGCCTATGCAAGTTGGTCTGAATGTTTACGCGGAAAAGATGAGCCCATCTGCTTCTTAGCTGATTTTTTTTTAAAAAAACCTTTTAAACAAATTCAACTAAAACTGGGCAAAGGCAAGGAGCAAGAACCTGTAATCTCAGCATCTGAGAGTTGTTTTATTTTACTGGGATAAGCACCAAATGTTTTAAAGACAGTTCTTGTCCACTATGGCTAATTTGAGCATTTCAAAGGGCTTTGGTTGGTGTAAAAAAGTAAAATAAAAATGAATTTACAAGGAGGATGGAAACATACAACTGAAATGCACCCTCTTATAGAGGTTGAGAGGGGGGGGAGAGAGAGAGGAAGAAGAAGGAGAGAGAGAGAGAGAGAAGGAGAGGGAGAGAGAGAAGACCAATATTCTTCATATTTATACAATGTTTCCCTCCAAGGATGAAAAAAATGCTTACATCTAAACAATAGAAAATGATTTGACCATCTTGGCCCCCCAAAAAACCCGCCCCAATATGGTGCAATTGTGCTTTCTCTCAGACCAATTCACTTAACAGAGTTGTGGTTTTCAGAAAAAGCTCAAACCTTGTTCTATACCAGTGTTTCTCAACCTTGGCCCACCTGAAGATGCGTGGACTTCAACTCCCAGAATCCCCCAGCCAGCGAATGCTGGCTGGGGGATTCTGGGAGTTGAAATCCACACATCTTCAGGTGGGCCAAGGTTGAGAAACACTGTTCTATACTAAGGAATGAGCAGATATCAAATAAAAATACAAAAAAAAAATATTCACTCCAACAACTTGATTTTCCCTAAACGCTGTTAGCTCTAAGGATCTCCACGCACTGACCATGATAGAAAGTTGCTAAGAAAAAGAATATAATGTTCCCTCATAGAATTAAAGCACAGAACCAACATCCCTATTTTTCCATTTTTTAAACAAAAACAAAAAAAATGGAAGAAGCATGAAGGGAAGAAAAATTCCACCACCACTGTGGAAACACTGGTGACAACCCCGAATTTTTAAAAAAATAATAATAATTGATTGATTAACACACGACCGCGTTGGCCAGAAACTAAGAGTGTAAAAGGGCTTTTGAAATTCCAGTAGCACAGGCACAGCGGCAAAGAACAGTATAACAGCCAAAGTTCAGTTCCATTTGGTGAGCCTTTGTTAGCAGCAATTTGAAAGAGGAAAAACAAAACACAGGGCACAATTTAAAAAATAAAATTAAAAAAAATATATAAAGGGAAATGTCTCCCACCAGGGCCATGGAAAGGAAGGAGGGCTATGGAAAGAAACTTCGCTTCCCCTGGGACTTTACAGCATCGTCTGCAATACCTCTCTATAAATATTTCACGCTGAACAAATATACTCATTGTCTTTCTTCTTCTATGCTTTCTCTCCATTTCATCCCTGAACCTCAGAAACACCTGGCAGTTGTGCGTTAGCAAACACAATCGGAGACTCTTCTTGAAGGGAATGTGGAGTCGCAAGGGAGGGCATTTCCCCATTCCATTTTGCTGTATTCCCGCTGAAAAATAAATAAATGCAGATATGCCCTAAACTAAGTGCAAAACGTCATCCAAATTAATAAGGGAGCTGCATCTCCACCTTAGATGTTACCCCGTTCACTTCTACCTATTGGTTATGCGGCTTCAAAATGCAGTATACAAAATATAGCCATTGATATTTTAAGGACAGTAACAACATTCCCCAAATTTCTTCTTTGATTCCGTAGTTTTTAAGTTGCTCTATTAAAAAAAAAAAAAAAAGGGCTCCCCAATCTCCCCCCCCCCTTTTTTTCTTTTCTTCTTCAAGCATTTAAACAATACAAGACTAAAAGATTCTGGAAATACCTCTTGTACAAAAGTGATTTTGTTTTTGTTTGTTTTTGTTTGTAAATCTTGAAACAACATTCAAAAAGGCACTTCATCCTGGAAGAAATCAAGTTCAGAGACAGGTCAACTGCTCTAATGAAGCAGGGCAGGGTGGGGGGGAAACACTCTGCATAGCAGGATGAGCTGGGAAGCGGGTGGAAGGGGAATGACTTGACTGGTGAAGTTAACACCAAGGGTTCATTTTTTTTCTTTTTTCTTTTTGGCATGTTTTAAGGGAGGGGGAAAAAACAAAAGAGAGCAGAATTTGCTTTATGAAATGCGTTAAACGTCCCCATTCAAAATAGCTTCTTTTTCTTCATCATTTAAGACGTAATCCGTTCACTTCACGGCATTAAGTCAATCTCATGATTTAGAAGCACTGGGTCGCGGCTGTCTCGCATTGGGCAAAGGAAAAATCAGGAATATTGAAGGTTTACCCAGAGCAGTCCCTGGGAGAGGCTTCAGGTAATGCAACAGGACAGGTGTTCCAAGGAGCCGACTACCTGTTACACAGCTTGTGGAGCATAGTGTAGACTTCTTCCTCCCTGCTTAACCCTTCAAAGAAAGGAATAAGGTCTAGCAATTCTGTGTCTGCCATGTCGTCAAACCAGGACTGAACAGGCACCTGAAATAAAAAAGCAACAGCAACCCAACATATTATTATTATTATCATCGCAACAACAGAATTGTATCACAGCGGCCAGTTGTTTCGCCGGATTTGGCATTGGTTACTAGTCGGGCCCCACCCAGGGGCCTAGGATGTTGTANCACAACTGAGCTCAAAATTTCTTGTTACTCAATAAAATATTTGTTAAGTGAATTTTGCCCCATTTTACAACCTTTCTTGCCACAGTTGTTAAGTGAATCACTGCAGTTTTTAAGTTAGTAACACGGTTGTGAAGTGAATTCTAGGTTAAAAATGCAAAAAATGGTCATAAATCTTTTTATTTAGGGCCGCTCTGAACAGTCGCTAAGTGAACTGTTGTAAGTTCGAAGACTACCTGTATAGGAATCCACCTTTTTTAGATGCATGTATTTGAAAAACTGGACTTTTAGCAGCTAGGACTGACATCTGAACCTCCGGAAATAGTCGTGGTCAGCAGGAAAGTTATCTGGATAAGGCTATGACAAGAAGACTAGGCAGCAAAATATCCTTTTATGTGTTGAACCAGTTATTGTTACTGTTTAAAGTAATTCTTATCATCTTATTGCTAGCTTTCAAATTGAAACTCTGCAATCTCCCAATCTCACTAATTTTAACCTGTCTGTCAACTCCAAAACTTCATCCTCTGCCAAAAAATCTGGCCATGCTAGACAGGTGCAAAGCAAGTTGCCACCTCCATATAAAAATGCAAGTAGTACTTCTTACCTGATGTATAGTTCCATCGATTTCAACGGGAACAATGAAATCAGCATTGCTAATTGGCTAGAAAAGTGAAAAGAAAATGATCTTTAAAAAAAAAAAAATTTGTAGTCTGCAGAGTCTGGAGAAACTTAACAAAATCGCAACACAGCCCAGATGGCATTAACCTGCATACTTCTGGTAAAAACTGGCGGAGATAGGCCCTTTTACACCTACCAAAGAGATTGGGATTATCCTATTCATATGCTGAAGAGAGGCATTATACATGTACTTGTATAATACAGGAACGGCAGATTTCGACAATATAGGCGTAAAAGTAATCCCCGCGTGTATGTTCTAGTTGTTCCTGACTCTAGGGGGTGGTGCTCATCTGTTTCAAAGCCAAAGAGCCAACGTTGTCCAAAGACGTCTCCGTGGTCATGTGGCTGGCATGACTCAACGCCGAAGGCGCATGGAACGCTATTACCTTCCCATCAAAGCTGGTCCCTACTTTTCTACTTGCAGTTTTTACGTGCTTTCGAACTGCTAGGTGGGCAGAAGCTGGGACAAGTAACAGGAGCTCACTCCATNAGCGCGGTTTTGACGGGTCACGGTATCATGTAATCCCTTTTGCAATCTTCTGACGAGTAACGTCAATGGGGAAGCCAGATTCATTTAACAACCGTGTTAGAAACTTAACAACCGCAGTGATTCTTCACTTAACAACTGTGGCAAGAAAAATGGGGCAAACTCACTTAACCAATGTCACACATAGCATCAGAAACTTTGGGCTCCATTGTGGTTGTAAGTCGGGGACTACCTGTATTAGACTAGAAATCGAACAAACCAAGACTTAAACGATTAACGGTCCATATGCATATTATTTGTAATTTTATAATAATCCTGTTTTAGTTTGAAAACTGTGTATCTTGTAATTTTCTGCACCGCATAGAATTTCAGAGCACAGAGATTAGACAATCTTCTAATTTCGTGGCGATGCCCAAGTACGATGGTTTCAATGAAAATTGTGGAAGGGTAATGAACTTGTCTTGATTTTTAGTCTTCCTTCTCAAGAACCAGAAAAGGAAGTCTGCTGGAAAACGGAAGAATATTAAAGCTGCTTTAACACTGAAACGTTAAAGTGGGGTTTTCCTGCACTTGAAATACCTGAGCCAACACCACACCTGGTATGAACTGAACACACCAATATCATATCTAGATGAGAAATATGTAAAAAAAGATGTTTCTTGCAGCTGCTCGGAAAGTTATCTTTGGATACACGCACAGCTGTTTTGCCAAGCTGGGTGATCTGTTCTGTGCAGGTACAGCCTCGCTTGTAATTCTTTTTAAAAATCCAAAATGGGAATAATTTCTGATGAAGCAGCCTTGTAGGGAAGCCCCTCTTGTAAATAAGAGCCACTGGCCAACTTATTTGTGAAGTTACTCTATTCCACTGTCTATTCCAGTGTTTCTCAACCTTGGCAACTTGAAGATGTCCGGACATCTTCAAGTTGCCAAGGTTGAGAAACACTGGTCTATTCCACTAATTTTGCCACTGCTACCGAAGTGTGCACAATAATGATTTTATCCTCTGCAAAAACAGCAGACAAGAGCTTTTCTGCTATCACAAGTACAGACAACACTGGGAACACCACAAGACTAAAACATTTATGGTGGAAGTTCACTAAAAGCACGAGGACTTCTAATTCAAGGGTACAACGAAGTATAGGCCCCCTTCCTTCCTTGTTCGGAACAGCTCAAGTCCACAAAGGTAACGTTCAGCAGAATTTGCATATATTGGATTTGCTCTGTACGTTTTGACGTGCTTGAAGACTCTATTACTGATTGCCCATACATCGATCCAACTGTGCAAAAGATCTGCTTAATCTGTCCCAGTTTAAGGATAGTACATTATGTAATAAGCTATTTTTCTCTCTAACACCCTCCCTCCCTCCCCCCCCCACACACATAACCATGGTAACTAAAAAAAGGCCTCCCATATTGGCATCAGGAGCAATCCAGGAAGGCTGAGTTAGGAGACAAGCCCATATGTGATACAGTTACCATGGAAACACTTACCCACACATTAGCAGGCAAAAGTACACGTTGCCAGATAAAGAAAGCAGAAGGGGGGGGGAAAAAGGGGGTGGGAGGGAGATGAAGATGAAGATAATTATTTTCTCCTTATTTGATATGCCAAAAAGAAAAAAGAAAAAGGACCCCAACTTTCCTTCTAGGAGATTTGGGTAAGGGAAGAAAACTCAATTGTTAATGATCACCAAATGCCCGTTTCTTCAGACATGCTGGACGCAGCTGAGCCAATGTTACAAAATTAACCAGGGTGAAAGTGTATCCAACTTTGGAATACCTGAAATGAGATGAGATTGTGAGAATAAGAGACACACGGATTGCATGACTTACTTTTGCTAGGCTGGCTGTGAATAGCACACATTCAAAAAGGTCTCCCATTCTCTGAAGAAATGTGTCCACATGTGGCCGTTTTAACACATAAACCTGGAGGTAGAGAAAGGAGGAGGGCACTGAGATTCAAGAATGAGCAAATAGTTCATGAATTTCATGATCCTGGAGGACCAATTTATATTTTGATAAAAAACAAGAGGCGAAGTGAAGTCCCGCTGGATCGTTACACTCAGTTTTGTTCCTGTATAAATTGGCAGTGCTCCAGGACAGACAGTATAAACTTAAAGGGACGTGATTTTAAAATTAAAGGATTGTTAACCTGTCATACTAACTCAAGGAATTTTATTCATCTGCAAAAAGAATGAATGGGTTCAATGCTCTCTTTTTCAAGTCTTCAAAAAGGGAAAGGATTTTGTTTCGTTTTCAACATGGCAAAATCCCGGATTTGTGAATGGAATGGATTTTCGTGGCTTTTACTAGTAAAGCTGTTGATAGGATTGTAGTTAAGATACTTCAGTAAATAATTATAGCTAGTGCAATAAAACCTATCCACACTAACTCAAGAAATGTTATTCCTGCCACATTGTTATTGAACATAGAAATATACAGCTTGTCCTCAACTTACAACCTCAACTGAGCTCAACGTTTTTGTTTCTGAGCAAGGCAGTTGGTTAAGTGACTTTTGCCCCATTTTACGACTTTTTTTTTTTTTACCGCAGTTGTTACGTGAATCCAACGGCAATTTAGCAAATCCAGCTTCTGCACTGAACTCTGCTTGTTGGAAGTGGTTGGGAAGTTTGCAAATGATAATCACATGACCCTGGGGCACTGCAACTGTCCTAAACACATCAGTTGTGAAACGTCTGAATTTTGATCACGTGACCCTGGGGGTGTTGCAAGAGGCGTAAGTAAGAAAATGTCATAAGTCACATCTTTCGGTGCTGGTGTAACTTCAAACAGTCACTAAACAAATGGTTGTAAGTTGAGGGCTGCCTGTACTGAGTCAAGGCAGAGTTGGAATAGACTAGAAATGGAAGAATAGAGTATAATGGAATGGAAAGAGAGGAGAAGAGAGAAATGGAAGAATAGAGTATAATGGAATGGAATGGAAGGAGAGGAGAGAAATAGAAGAAAAGAATATAATGGAAAGGAATGGAAGGAGAGGGGAGAAATAGAAGAAAAGAATATAATGGAATGGAATGGAATGAGAGGAGTGGAGAGGAATAGAAGAATAGAGTATAATGGAATGGAAAGAGAGGAGAGGAGAGAAATGGAAGAATAGAGTATAATGGAATGGAATGGAAGGAGAGGAGAGAAATAGAAGAAAAGAATATAATGGAATGGAATGGAAGGAGAGGAGTGGAGAGGAATAGAAGAATAGAGTATAATGGAATGGAAAGAGAGGAGAGGAGAGAAATGGAAGAATAGAGTATAATGGAATGGAATGGAAGGAGTGGAGAGGAATAGAAGAATAGAATATAATGGAATGAAAGAAGAGGAGAGGAAACGATGGAAGGGAAGGAAAAAAATTTATTGTCACTAAATTGTACAATGCAAGAGAGAGACAGTATTGTATCAGCATGTAATTTGGTTTTGTGTGTGTTTAATTCACTTTTTTAACTGGAGGTAATCTACTCTTGAGATACATCTTTTGTTGCAGGCCTTCTTTTTAAAAAAGTGCGAAGGAGACATGTGGACTTGGGACTTCCCAGCATCCTCTTCATCGCGTTGTGGCTACGTCCCGGTGCAAGTACTCTAGGATAGGCCACTAATATTGTACACAGCCTATCCTGGATTACTTGAACCCGGCCACAGCCCCTCCTGGAAAGGCAGGCCAAGAACGTCCTTTAGAAAAAGAACAGATTAGATGCAAAACATCATCACTTATTAAAACAATGCACAACTATCCACAGTTTATCATAGTTTTACACACACTCTCAGCAATTTCTAAATGGGAAAAAAAGTTAAACAGTTTGTAAGTACAGATAAGTCCTCAACTTACAACAGTTCATTTAGTGACCATTCAATGTTACAACGGCACTGAAGAAAGTAACTTATGACAGTTTTTCACAGTTACAACCTTGGCAGCAACCCATAATCATGTAATTAAAAATTTGGACGCCCGGCCACTGGTTCATACTTATGACATTCAGAGTGTCCAGGGGTCACGTGATCCGCCTTTTGCGACCTTCTGACAAGCAAAAGTCAATGGGGAAACCAGATTCACTTCAACAAATGTGTTACTAAGTTAACAACTGCAGTGATTCGCTTAACAACCAGGGCAAGAAAGGTTCGTAAAATGAGGCTAAACTCACTTAACAAATGTCTCACTTAACAACAGAAATTTTGGGCTCAATTTTGATTGTAAATGGAGGATTTTTTTTTCCTTCATAAGCTGTTGCAGTCATTTCCAATAACCATGGGGCCAGGTCCGATTTTACGACAGTGGTTAAGCGAATTCAGATTCTCCAAAATATTTCCCCCCCCCCCCCTTGGGTACATTTTGCCGGAAACAAAGCATCACATGATTGCAGGATGCTGCAACTGGTTGTAAGTGCGAACCAGTTGCCAAGTGCCCCAATTGAGATCACGTGGCCATGGCAGTTGTGAGGCAGTTTGTGATGGTTGCAAGTGCAAACTCAGGTCATGATTGATTCTTTTTT